ACAGCTCTGTCCCTTCCCCTTTCTGGATCTTCAGTGTAAAATAAGGAGCAGGTACTGGATTAAAGGGGGGGGGGCGGGGCAACACACAGCCTGGACCAAATTAACCTGTAATTGGGAAATATTTACAAGATAAAGGAAAATACACTAAAACATAGATAACATTACATATTAAAACTAAGTCAATGTCCCTCCCACAGGGATTCCTGGGCATAGTTTAGTGGTCCTCATTTCTTTTTGAGTTGGACATTACTGGGCTAGATCAAGGTTCTTCAAGGATCTTTCCTGCTCAGTCTCTGACAGAAAGGCCTCCTCTCTTCTCCCCACTCCCCCATTCTTGGCAGTCTCCTTGGAGCCTCATCTGTCCCCTTGGGTTGGGGCTTTCTCCTCAGCTCTACCATCCCTTTCTTGGCTTGATCCAATCATTCCATCCTGCCTCCCATCCCCCACCTCCTCCAACACTTTCTACTCCCTTCCCCTGGACTACAAAATGTGTGTGTGGGAGGAGGGGAGGATCTGCATGGATCAAATGGCTACGGCTCCTCCTTTGGTACCCCGGGGGAGAAGAGTCTTCATTGGTGCCCTATACCCTGGAGCTGCCTCCTCTTTGTGTAGAATTCTCGTAGTAAAGTGCTTGGATGAAGTGAAGGGGAGGGAAAGAGGGAGGGGAGGTGGCATGGGGCTTGGTTCAGGGAGATAAAACCGAATGTGATAGTGGGAGAACAACTGGTTAAGGAGAAATAGAAGCCCCATCTCCCCCAGAGGGCAATCTTTCTACCCACAATGCTGAGGGACCCTGCAGGTTCCCTATTCTGATCCACTGGCCCCCATCCTGAGTTCTCTATCCACCATTCCTGAGTTCTCTGTCCCCATTCCCATCCTCCAAACTCCCTATCTCCCCCAACCCTTATCTCTTCTGTCCCCAATCCCATCCTGAGCTCTGTGCCCTGTCCTAGCCCCTGATCTCCATCCACCATCCCCAGAATCCTGTCCCCATCCCTATACTAAATTTACTGTCTTCTCTCCCTGGTAGTTTCCATCCCCCCCCCCCCCCCCCCCCCCCAAGCCAGGCTTGGTCTCTATCCCTTCCATGTCCTAAGCACTCTGTCCCCATCTCTAGCATCCTCTGCCCCACCATCTCCTTTCCCCTTAGAGCTAAAGTTCTGCCCCCACCTCTCATCCCTGAAGCTCTGGGGAACCATGCCCCCCTTCACCTAATGAGGCCACTTACATAACAACATTATAATATTTTCCATTCCCTGCAGCTGCTAATTGAAACCTTTCTGGGTCTCCCAGGCTCAGTTCTCTTACTCTCCTCCTTTCCCTTCCCTTCCCTCCCTCTCTGGGGGACAAGGGGCCTGGCTTCCTCTCCAAAGTCACTTTTGGGAAAGAAAACTTTCCTCTGAATTGTTAATGAGGTGGGGGAGGGGGTGCATACTGAGCAACATCCCGAGATTCTCCCCATTGTCCCATCACCTTCTGGTGATTTTTTGCCTTAGACACTGCAATAGTCACTCTGCTCCCACCCTGAGCCTGAGCCTCCCGCTTCTGACTGCTAGCTCCATTTCAAGGCAACTCCCCACAAAGCCCTTTCTATAGAAGATGGAAGCCAAGCTGTTGATTAATAGCCAGGACTGGTGTGAGCACCTCTCCTCAGAGGATTAGTCCCCTCCCATCCCAGTACCATTGTTTAAGAGGTAGGGGTCACCGCTGGGATACCTGGCTTCTCTGAGTTTGAGGGAGGGAAGGATCACAGCATGGTAGACTCGAAGGGACCCCACAGAGGAAAAAGCGGAGGTCCAGAAAAGTGAACTGATTTGCTAGGGGTCACACAAAGGAGCAGGAATAGAAGCCAAGGTCTCCTTGTTCAATGCCCTCCTTCCACTATTGCCTTCATCCATCACACCCCCAAATTGAAAGTGGGTGTGGGCGTCTTTAGGAATGGGAGGCAAGCAATGGAAATGACCCCGACTGGTCAAATGGCACCAGGCTGGTCTATGGTTAGACAGAGATTGCCCCACCCTTGGAGACAGGGCTGGAAAGATCTACGGGCTCTGCAGGGGTTCAGCTGCTTTTCTCCCCCGGAGCCCAAGGTTCTGCGGCCCTATCACACTCTGGACACTTCCTCCAGCTGGGATGAGGTGGCCTTCTCCAAACCAAGCTCTAGGCTGACTTGTCCCCAGTCCCCAGGGGCAGGGCAGGATGTGTCCCCAGCAAGCGCTCTGGGGCTTCCCGCTTCGAAGGCTCAGCTTCTTCCCTAGCCCCCGCCCCCTTCTCCCCGCCCCCAGCCCCGCATCATGGAAACTGGGCTCAGAGCCTGCTGGGGCTGCCTCTGCATTCCTGCGCCCCCTCCCCTTCCTCCCTCCCGGGATTGGGGGGAGGGGGACAGAGCCGGGAAGAGGCCGAGGGGCGGGACAGGCGAAGAAAGTGAGAAGAGGAGGAAAGGAAAGGGAAGCTGCAGGGAAGATGAGAGTGGGGGTGGGGGTGAGGGAATGGAGGGCAGAGGGCCAGAGCTCAGGACAAGGGAAACCCTGCCCCATCCCCCAGATCCCCCACAACGCAGAGCAAACTAGAGAAAAGCGGTGGTCCAAGGGTCTTCAGTCCCTATCCCATTGTCTCTCCCCCACTCCCCACACCCCAACTCATTGCACATCCTTTAGAGCTGGGAGGGAATTAGAGATCTGGCTCCTAAGCCCTTGGACACCCCAAAAGCTCCCACCCCTAACCTGAGCCTCCCTTTCACATTCAGGTTCACAGACCCCCTGAAATCAACCCACAAACCTTCAAGAAACCCACGTTAAGAGCTCCTGGTCTAGAACAGCAGCTCCTTTCTAGTTGTCTACCATGGGGGGATGGGGGGGCAAGGAGAGGAAATAGGATAAGGTGCAGACCAGACTCAAGACTTCATCTGTAGGGAGCTCTAAGGGAAGAAACACCCTTACACCTTTCGGGCAATTTGGACAGTGGCCTGGGGCCATTAAGAAAGGAAGTCTCTTCCTCAAGCCTGGAGTCTCACATAGGCAGGGTGTATACAGAGTGGGACCTGAACCCGAGTCTTTTGACTAAGTTTGGGACATACCCAGCAGCTTCCTCCTGCCCCTCACTCTCCATTATCAGTTAAGTGCTCTGGGGACCAATTAGAACCTAGGCCAGTGGAATCTCTGGAATAAGGAAGAGGGAAGTAAATCTATCTCGATGCATATTACCTGAAGTACCTTCTGAAGCCCACCGGGAGGCTTCTGAATTAACTCACTTTTCCATTATCTGAGGGGGGGGGGGGGGGGCTTGAGACGGAAAGGGAATGCAGTTACCGAAAATACTCTGGTTCTACAGACAGCACACAGAATGTGCTTAATAGATGTTTTTGTTGTTTAATTGAATTGAGTTTGTGTAGAAGTGTACAGGGCTAGCCTGAGGTAGTCCTCATAAACTCTGGATGTTCAAATGGCTCCTGATATCTCACCTCCTCCAAGAAGGCTCCCAGATTGAATCAGACCAGCACGGAGGCACCCTCTCCATCATCAGCTGTTTCCCTTTTTGGCTTTTACTTGCTTCCTTTAAAAGGGTTTGAGTCACCGAAGCCCCTTTGTGCAGCAACAACTGCCATATTTGCGAGTCAAAAAATCCAAGTTCATATCTCAACTCTTCCACTTTTGCTAGTGATATCTTTGGACAACTCACGTAATCTCTCTGGGCCTCAGTTTCCTCATTTGTAAAATGAAGTGTTTGGACTAGATGATTTCTAAGTTCCTCCCAAGTTTTAAAGCTACGACTCTATGTTTCCTAGTCGGTTATGAGAGAGGCTGGGCTGGGCTGCTTTAGGGAGAGAGAAGGTTTGAGCAGGAAGGGATAATGGTCAGTAATGAGAAGGCAGAGAGGCCCAGCTGAGGTCTGGGAGGAGGTGAAGGGCACGGGCTCCTAACCATTAATGTTACTCACTGAGTTTCCAATGTTTGCCAGAGTTGACTGGGGCCAGATGGATGGGGCCAGAGTTGAATGATTCCCACTTAGGAAGGAATGCAGAGTGATAACGCCCTTCAACCAGGCTCATTTGAGGATACAGCCAGTAAGAAGACCAATATCTCAACCTTTAGTTCCGAAACCCACTTTCTGCTTAGGACTGCAGGGCACCCTCTCTTTGGGCCTGGGGCCCGCTAGGCCTTGGCAGCTCTGAGGCATGGCAGCAGTGCTAGGAATAGTTCTTACCTACTTCCCACGCACCCCTCTCACCACTGAACCATCCACACCCACCCCCCATTTCTGAGGGCCTGGGGGAAGGGAGAAAGTGTTAGGCCCCTGCAGATCCGTGCCTTTAGTCTGAGCCCCTGGGTGTATTGGGGCTGGCAGGTGAGGATGTGGGGATCGAGGAGTGTGGGGCCAGATATGTATACATGTTGGGAGGTCCAATATGGGGGATCACAGGCCATTCCCCACTCTGGGATTCCTCCCTTGCCTTCACAACAAATAGGGAATGGGGGGGGGGGAAGAGAACCACTTTTTTACATTCTCCCCCCGATCTGACTCTAGGGCTATCCTGGTCCAGGGAGTCTGTAGCCCTCAAATCACATCCACGACATTCCGCCCCCTCCCTCCGCCCCCCTCACTCCAACCCCTTTCCAGGTCTAAAGCTGAGTGAATCCTGAACGCAGCTCCACCATCCTCCCAATTAGGGGGCCTTCGGCCAGGCCAGCGCCTCCAGTCCAGGCAGCCTCAGGACTAGGTTAAGGTGTCCTGAGATCCGGTGGTCCCCTATGGGGGGGTGGGGGAGGTTAGAACTGAGATCCCGATGACTGTCTCAGAGCAAAACTTGAGAGATTTGGGGGGAAGGAGGGGCGAGGCCTCGGCGGTCCCGGCGTTTTCCCGGACGGGGGGTGGGGATGGGGAGGCAGAGGCGGAGCTGGGGGGACGGGGCAGACGGGAGGCGGAGCCCACGGACCGCAGGGGGTGGCAGGGGGAGCGGTTCTGAGAGGCCCGAGAGTCGGGGATGGAGCCGCGGCGGGAGGGGAACAGGGCAACCGGGCCCGAGCGGGAGGAGCCCGCCTGACCAGGTGAGCCGGAGTGGATGGGGGCGAGGGAGGCCGTCTGGGGCCTTCGTTTGGCAGCGGGCGGGGGCGGGCTATAAAGGCCCCTTTTACGTCTCCCCCATCCCACCCTCAGATGGCAGCGCCCCGCGCGTGGAGGGGAACCCGGGTCAGGAAACCATCCAGAAGCCGAGGCCCAGGGAGCGGCCGCCAGCCCCCCAGCCTCCGGACTTCCCAAACTTCCCAGCTCTTTGTCAAACTTTGCCCCTTTCCCTCGACTCCGGCCCATCCCAGCCTGGCCCCAGCCGTCGCCTCCCCTCCCCCTCCAGCGCCCAGAGAAGCCCACCACCCCGCCTGGGTTCCAGTGCTCCCCGCTCCGAGTTCTGCTTGGCCGGGTCCCTCCAGGTTCACCCCAGGGTGTGTCTGCCAACTTTCCCGAGTGTCTCGGACTCTTGGATCCACATGTTATTATTCCGGGCTGATTTTGGGCAAACTCGGGTCCCGCCCACGTAGGCTGAGCTGGAGGGAGGGCCCGGACTGCAGGCGGAGGACACCTAGCCAACCCTACCGCCTCTGCACCCGTACCCGCCCCCCCACCCCCAAGAGCAGGGAGACAGAAGAGGAGGGTCCCATCCCTTACTCCGTCTCTCACTTTCACCTCTCAGTGTTTCTCACTGTCTACCCTGACTTTGCTGGGACCCTGGATCTGGATGGACTCAGCAGGGAAGGGTGGGAGCTGGTTTCTGCCGGTCCAAGCCCCTGGGTTGGGAGGCCATGTAGAATTCAGCCTCTCTAGGCATTCGCCTCCTAAGACCTCCTATTCCTGGGGGGGAGGGGGGAGGAGGAGGAGGGAGAGAGAGAGAGAGAGAGAGAGAGAGAGAGAGAGAGAGAGAGAGAGAGAGAGAGAGAGAGAGAGACGGAAGAGGGAAGGAGGTTCTTTCCCCATTACAAGGAGGGAACTTACAAGGGAGAAGGAGGCCTGGAGTTTGTTATCAGAAGAGGTCTAGAGGCAAGTCTCTGTCCATCCCAAGACCCCCAGACAAATGGCACCCTTGATGAAGGTCATTTCGTAGTAGGGGGGTAATTCAATGGAGATAGCCCTGGACAAAGCAATTTAGGAAATAGCTCTGCCTCTAATTCACTGGGTAGCCTTCACTTTTTCAGGCCTCAGTTTCCTCTATCACAAAAGAGGCTGCACGAACCAAGACTCATTACAGATAAGGATTTATGTTATGTTTTTCCACCTTAAGGGGGTGGGGAGAGTGTCCATGGGCATCTCTCTAGGTGTGTGTGTGTGTGTGTGTGTGTGTGTGTGTGTGTGTGTGTGTGTG